ACTGAAATGCTTTGCTAGTCTTGAGCTGGCCCCTGAAAGGGCTTCACAAACCCTTCTCCTTTTCAGACTATATTGGATGCCATTCAACAAAACCACACCTGTTTACCACCTTTTCAGTCCCCTGCATTATCAGTGACCCCTTCCTCCTGCTGCACTATATCATTTAATTATTATTATGGCTCAGGGCCATTGCCAGCACAACACGAAGGCCATCTTTTGCCCTAGTGAGGTTGTGGTCTAAAAGCAGACCCAGAGGCTCTGGGAAACCAGGCGTGATTTGCAGCCTCCTCCGTGGTATGACGGTTGTTTATCGGAGTGTAAGTTCATGTCTCGCGGGCCCTCGGGTGCAGCAGGGAGGGAGGTGCTGTGGAAACGCGTCTAGAAGAGGAGATGGGGAATAAAGAGGGTGCAATAGCTTGTGGCGTTGCATATTCAGCCCGTGCATTTATCTCCAGGAGGCAGCCTATATGGAAAGGTGCCCACTGAAGAATCCCTTGTTCTGGGGGCTGTCTGTGTCCAGCTGGGTTTTCCACAACGGATGCTCAAGTTTATTTCCATCCCTTATCGACAGTGGAAGCGCAGAGCTGTGCAGACAGGGCGGGGTTGGTGCCAGAGGTGAGGGGATGTGGTTAATGAGCTGTTAGTGACTTCAATAGCCTGGATGGAAAAAAACACATGAAGGCTAGGTACATGCATTCAGAAAGCCCGAAGCAGAATCGATCTAAGTTATGCAGTTTTCTGTAAGCGGCGTAGTTCAGATCGGTGGTGAACAGAACGCACATTCGCCCTTTGGTCGGGGGGCAAATCTTAGACCGGAGCCTGCCATTTTAAACCAGTCCATGCGTGCCGAACTTCTGTTCGGTTACAGGTATAGACCAGTTTTGTGTGCCAAACTTCTGTTACGGGTGCTATTTCCAATCACTTCTATCAGTTTAGACCAGTTTCCAATCACTTATACCAGTAAAAGCATCCTGTCTGTACCTGGCCTGAATGAGGAGAGCCCAGACAGAGGTGGCATTTGACAAGATGCCCAAGGACAAGTCGCTCTCCCCCATCGCACCCCTGCAAATGTTTGGTAATCTCGATTAATGTATTTTGGACAAATGTCCAAACACTGCAGCGCCATTGCTGTAGGTCAGTCCTCTTCTGCAGACAGAACAGCTTGACCCCTGGATGTCTCTTGGTTAGAGACTGCCAGATTTCTGGAACGAGCTGCAAATGAGTGATAAAGGTTTTGCAATACAGACAGCGTGGGAAATTATAGAGAGTGTTTTAATGGTGAACTAGATATGTGCTGACCCCAGGGACCTGGCTGGGCAAAGCTGGACTTCCTTGGGGACATTGCTTATGGCTTAGGTGTCCAGTGCCCTTTCACTGCATTCTCAAGCCTTCATGTATGGTTTCACAATGCAATTTTTCACTTCCCTAGAGAAGCCCTGGATGAGAAAAGCCTTGATTCAGACATGGTGGGGAACCAGACAGGTGCAAAAATAGCCAAGGTGAAGGAGCCAGCAGCAATCACATTTGCTCAGGCTCAACCTTTTTTCATGTGGACTCCAAAAGCCTGTGCGTCCGGCTGCACGGCATCAGACAGCGATTGCTTTAAATCATTCGGAGGCAACATGGCTCGCCCGAGCCCAGATTAGCCAGGTCTGAGAGCGCTGTTGTGTACTGTACTATTTATAGCATCAGGGATTGTCAGGCTTCATTATTAAAATATGAAGCATGCTATGGACCAGAATCCACCCGTGCAGCTCCTCGCTGGCAGAACGGCCTGGATGTGTCGGAGGACTTGGTGATGCAGGTCACACCTGAAAACTCAGACCCAGCTGCTATGCAATAGCAGCCAGCCCCTAGTGATCCTCCTTCCTGAACACAGCCGTGGGGGACGAAGTGATTATGCACCACGTTGTTTGAGATGCAGGCTCCTTTACTCCTTTGTCTCTGATGGTTATATTCCTGATGCAGAAAAGGGGCCAAAAATGAGCTGTCTTTGAGAGAAGAGGGAATAAACTCAGAGTGTTTCTTGCTCCCATGCATTGTTATTCCCTGTGGGCTGATGCAGTTATATCAAGAAATAAAAGAGGGAGGATATTGCTTTACCCAAGCACAGGCATCTAGGCAGAGATGGGAAGAGCAAGGGGGTCCTGTACACCGAGCCTACCTCCGATCAGATATGTGAGCATGCCTGACATTCAGCGGTTGCCGTAACGTCTGAAATCCTAGCCCCCTTCTAGTCAATGGGAATTTTGTCGCTGGCTTAAAACAGTGCCAGGACTCCTCCCTTTGAGCCAAACCTATCACAGGCATTAAGGTCAGTCGACTGCTGTCGACTTCCAGTGCTTGCTTCAATCCACTCTGTTTATATTATAATGATCCTTTCCCCTGGGAACCACCTAACAATTATACCTACTGAGCTAAATCCAGGCCTGGGGTAAGCCCATTGATCCTGGCTAAGAGGGCCGAGGAGAGTCCTGTATCTATTGTCTTAGAGCCGTGCTTTTGATTCCCTTTGTTTGCCTCTGAGTGCCTTGTCTTTTGGAGAAGAAACACTATGCAAAAGGATCGGTGTTATACGACAGCCCTAAAAACACCACTAAATGACCGGCCTAACATGATACCAGAAATAAAAGCGATTTCTTTCACAGTAGAGGTGAGCAGCATTTTAAGGTACAGGACACATATATATTTAACCCACGAATTACCCAGGTAAATATATAAGTTAGCTGGCAAATGAGTTATAATTATCATCAAGAGTCCCACTTGTGCCAGGCACTTGCAGACCGACAATACAACGCTCCCCATAAAGAGTGCACTATTTAGGTCAAAATTTGTTATCTTTTGACCTGCCCTGAGGCTTCATAAGGGAGAAGCACACTGCTTTAGCCTTGTAACCACGTAGCTGACAGTATTTAAATACCCTGACCCCTCCATGCTATTTCACAGGCAAGTAAAATATCAAGTTAGTGCACTAGAAAAGATTTCTTATGTGGCCTCAGTACTGACAGCACTTCTCCTGGGTTCACTAGATCAAATAAGCCTCATCTTCTGGGTAAATCTGTGTGCAGCAACTGGAGGAGCACAGGACATGTAAATGGGTTTGCTTTATTAGTTCCTTGCTAATAAATCCTGCTATTTCTTCCTGTAATAATGTACCCTGGTGTCATTTTTAAATGGCAGGCATGCAATCTAATAATGATACTCTTCCCCTGCACGCCTTGCAGAGCTGGAGAAGGATTGTGTCATATTTGTATTGTCACATTGCCAGGTAGGTGATTATTAGCTCGAACTTAAAGGTGGGTAAATCGAGTCACCAAGGACATTCCTGGTCCTGACTCCTGGGCCCCTGATAGAAATACTCGTCCTGCCGACATCGGGGGAATCAGAAACCTCATGTCTACTGCTCCTTCACAGGCCCATGTTTCAAAAGAAACACTTTTCCTTTTAGCTCCACACATGCTCTTTTGGATGCCCTGAGAGTGCCTTTGTCTCTGTGAAAATGCATTGCAATTCAGAGCGCTCTCTTCCTTGCTAAACGCTGGTCTTCCTTCCCTCTCAAATTTTCCATGGCAATAGCCTCTCTAATACCCACAAGGAAAAGCTATCTTGCAGCCCCTCTCCCCAGCCCACACATCCTTTTCTCAGTAAGAAAATGCTGAAGGGTAACTCCTGCTCCCCCATCCAGGCCAATGAGGTTAATTGGCAATCTAATGTGGTCAAGGCAGCCCTGTCGCCTCTCTGAAATAACAGATGGGCTCAAACGTGGCAGGAGAGGGACTGAATTGATAGCCGTGTGATTACTTCTGGAATTCAATTTGCAACAGCTATAGCCTCTCCGAGATGGGGAGCTATCAATCATGGCTGGTGCCTGGGCAGGCCTCGGGGAGGCAGCTCACTGCTCCCTGTGGTCTCTTTGTGGGGTAATGGGAAGGCCAGGGACATCGCTGCTTCTGTGACCCCTGGGAAGGATGGGGTTTGTTGCATGATGACCCCGCTCCCTGCTGTAAGCAAATGTGATGCTTGCAGAGGATGCAACATTCAGGGACCTGTGGACCAGCCCCCTCAGCCAGGCCCAGCACCGGTGCAAGGAACAGAGGTGCATCCATGTGCTTTGTTACCCCTCCGGGGTAATGAGCCAGGAGTTGTCCTGCCAAGACCCATCCATCCAGCCCTGGGGCTTTCGGGTACCTGTGAGGGCCACCTTGGCTGGTCCCTGCTTGTCCCTAGATAGGTCCCGAGGCTGCCAGCTAGGACAGCGCCGAGTCCCCGGCTGCCGTTACTTACTTATTTATTAAAGTTCATTTCCAGGGCCAAATCCGTTCTGAACTGAGCTCCAAATTTCAAGTGAGCAGAGCTCACTCATTGAAGTCTGCCTGGCGCTACCATCGGCAAGCGTCCTCCCTTCCCAGACTCATCCATCTGTCTGGGGCTTCGGATCCTCCCACATCCCTGGCAGGCATCCTACGTGCCAGCCCCCAGCCCGGAGGGCTTGTAGTTAGCAGGCGAAGGCCTGTCACAGGCAGGCTGACCCCTGTGAGAGTCTGCAAATGCCTCCAAATGCAAGGAGCTCTGCTATAGAGATTATAGCAGTGGGGATTGCTTTTGGGTTTTCCCCCAAGTTTGTGCCTTTTGGTTAGGGACAGGTGAGACTAGGGGGTATCCGAACTCCAACTCTCGGCTGCCTTCAGATGGACGTGGTGCTTTCACCCTTTTGCCGTGTGCTGGATACCCCCGTACGTCCCTCCCAGCCTCTCCATGTGCTCATCAGTTGGCTAGGTGATGGGGTACCGATGCCCAGCCCAGCCTGGGTGAGCAACCCCTGCCCATCCCCTGGACCCCCATGCCACAGCGGTTCCCCTCCTTCCCTCTCCGTGTCTCCTGCCCAGCTCCTCTCTGCGCCCAGCTCTGTGTGTCTCTGCCTCTCCATCTCCCTCTCTCTCCCCATCCATCTCCTCCTTGCCTGAGCTCCCTCCTCCTGTCTCCTCCCCTCCCTGCTCTCTCTACTCCCTCCCTCCGCCCGGTACCGCATTGCTGTAGTGCAGGGGGTCACTGCATTGCGCTGGCACCGTCAATAGGTGGACCCCCTCCCAGGGAAATAAAACAGCCGGAGCCTAAGCTGGCAGCCTCTGCTGTCTGAGACCACAGCTACTGGTAAGAGCTCCCAACCCAGCCGCAGCTAGCTGGGGAGGGTGGTGGGCATGGGGGTTGCACCCACCCAGGCGGCCTGGAGAGGGGAGCAAGGGGTGCAGCTGGGTTGTGTGTTTGCAAGCGCCTGGTGCATCCAAGCCTGCAGCCACTGACTTGCTTTGCTGGGGGGGGAGGGGGGCGCAGCCATTAATAGCCAGAGTCTTAACAGAATATGATTTAAGAAGTCCCAGGTGGGGAGGAGAGCAGAGCTAGGTGCCTTGTCCTCTGGAGGCAGAGCTCCGGCTTCCCCTTCCAGCCAGCCCACATGAGCCGGGCAGGTGTGGGTGGGGTGGGGGGTGCTGCTACCTTTGCTCGGTGGCGATGGCAGGGCTTTGACCTTGATCCCCAGGAAACCGCAGGAGCCGTGATGCTGCGGATAGGGCTGCATATGCCCCTGGATCATGGTGTTTGCATACGAGACAGCACCCCAAGCCTAGGAAGGGCATATGAGCCCTTAGCTGAGCTGAAGTCACCAGGGCTAGGTGAAGCTGGGTTTAAACCTAACCCCAAAGAGAGGAGTTGCGGGGAGGTGCTGTGTTCCCCAACCCCATCGGGGGCACCCTCGACTCTTCCTTCAGCTTGTAAATAGGGAGATTTTCCTACCCAAGATGTCGGACCCTCCCACCCCCTTGCAAACAGAAGCAGCTGGCATCAGGAGCCCTGAGAGAAAGAAAGAGGCTGCCTAGAGGTTTCTGAAACCCTGGCAGCCGGCATGGCAGCTGGAAGATGTGAGACGCCCGCCTTTGAAAGAGCTGCCTTTGCTGTTGTTCGGTGCTAGCACGGATTAGCCCCCACCCCCGGTTTCATTTCCACAAGGCTCCCCCCAAGGTCTAATGGGGGGTGGGAGGGCTCCCTGCTCTCCTGGAAGGCTGCTCTCCGAGGACGTTACTGCCTGCACGGCTGAGTCTGTATGACGGGGGCAAACTTTCCCTGACCTCTTTTACCTTTATGGGCAGCTTCATGATGACATTGGATTTTATTAGATGTCCAAGCAGGCTCCTGCTCTGGCTGGTTCGTGGTGCAGCTGCGGAGCGTGGAGATGCCGGGACAGACAAATGGATGGATTGCTTTTCCTTTCCTCTCTACATTTTATTTTGATCCTTGGAGGAAAAAAAACCCCATTGCCAGCTCAGGCACCAGCACCCGGCTTTCTGCAGGCTGCCCAACTGCTTCCAATTCAGCCGCAGGCTATTTTTGTCCATTCCCTTTTGTGGGCACCATATTGTCATCCCAACCACGAGCTCCGTGGGGGAGAGCTCGATGCAGAGAGGCAGAGAGGGAGAGGAATCTGATATCGTGCTGAGCCCCTCTCGCGATATGCCTAAGCCAGCATGGATGCCCGGCAGCTACCCGAGAGGAAGGCAGCATGTGAAATGGAGGCAGCATTTAGTTATTTCAAATGCAGAAGCTCTGGGAACGAAGCAGTCTTTCCATAACGGGGTGCATTTGGCTGCAGTGAGGGGGCGAGCTTTCTATCTAGAAGGGCTTTAAGGGGGTACTAAGGATTAGGGCCCCCCTCTGACACCTGCCTTTCAATATGCATTCCCCAGGGGCACGGGCACACCTTGTTTGCAAAGGCTGCGAACACGGTGACTCACGTTGGAAAGGCTTTACGCAGCACACAGAAATAGGGCAGTGAGCCCCCATCATCCCAGAGGCAGGCGGGTCCTTCCACCGCTGCTCCAAAGAGGATAGCAGACAGGCAAGCCTAAGCCCGTCGGGCCAAGAGTTGGGTTGCTGGTGCCGGTAGAAGGTGGGCTTTAATTCACAAAGAGGACAGAAAAATAGTAATATCTTTCTCTGTATACAAGCCTTGTCATTCAGAGCCCATGCCTTGCTGAGGGCAGTGGGAAGATGGGGTGGCCCTGGGGTTTTGCTGCCTTTTGGGGTGTCGGGACTCATGCAACGTCTGTGCTTTTTCCTCCCCAACCTCCACAGGAACGCAGCGCCGTGTCCACCGCTTCGCTAGCGCCAGCCCTTCACACCTAGCCCGCGAGGATGGGGAAGGAGAAGACACATATCAACATCGTCGTCATTGGACATGTGGACTCTGGGAAATCCACTACCACCGGACATCTCATCTACAAATGCGGGGGCATTGACAAAAGGACCATTGAGAAATTTGAGAAGGAGGCTGCTGAGGTGAGCTGTCCCGCCCTTACCGTGCCTTCCCCTTTGTCTCCTCCAGAGCAACCGGGCGATGGAAAAGACCCCTAAATCATATGGTGCCTGCCTTGAGCAAGGGGCAGGCCTAGATGACCTCCCGAGGTCCCTTCCAGCCCTCCTTTTCTAGGATTCGATCTCCTTTCATTGGATTGTTCCCTATGGTCTATTTGCTCCCTTCTCCCCTTGTTAGTCCCATTTCCTCTTTTTCCCCATTCTTCCTCTTACCTCTGGGCCTTTCCAACACCTCTGGCCTTGGAAAAGTAGGACCTTTTGGCCTAGTCATCCTGTTGTCTGTGTTTTCCTATCCACCTGTGGAAGTCATGGCCACAGGAAAGCCATGAGGGTGCAAGAGCTCTGCAGGATTTAAAAGCAATAGTGGAGACTTATGTGGATCACACCTTATCATAGTAGAGAGTCTGGCTGGGCTGTGACCTCATGCGAATAAACCAATACCTCCATACTGGTATTAGGGGCTAGGAGGAAATCTTTCCAAGGAGCAAGTCACTTATCCCTAAATGTTGTAGGAATTGGCTTGAATTTTATTCTGAAATAGCTGGCCCTGGTGACTGCTGGAGACAAGACAATGGACCAGGTGACCGCTGGCCTGATCTATTCTGTCGATGCTGACATCCCTCTTTACATTTGGGTGTTCGGGATTTGATCTGTAGCTTCAGCAGAAGCCTTCCAGGTAGAAAGCCTGCTATGAAATCTAGGCATTTATTCGAATGTCAGGATCTCTCTTGTACCATGGCCACAATCATGGCGCTCTAATAAATCCATCTCTCGAGCCATCAGCAACATATTAAAGCATATGGAAAGGGATGGATGTAGAGCCAAAGGGAACCTGTATTGAATGAGGAGAGCCCAGAAACCGACTGGAGTAAATTCCAGTGAATCAAACCATCGGGTGCCTTGCTGGGCAATTTTAGCAGATCAATATGTTATTTGAAAAGGTACGTTCCCAATGAAGCCCGGGAGGCTTTGACACATATATCCTTTGATTTTTCTGGATAGAAACTGTTAGCTGTCATATATAAAAGAGGCAGGATGCTCGGTGCTGCCTATCTCAGACAAGCAGCTTGCAGGTTGCCCCTCTCCAGCCCATTGAATTTCCAGGCAAGGATAAAACACCTATTTCTCTACCTTATTTGCAGCTTTTTTTTTCCCCCCAGTCCTCCCAGTAGGAGCTGCATCCCGTCAAAACTGCTCTCTCTCTCTCTTTTTTAACCCAGTCACTGCTGTTTCCACATATTTCTGTCCTGTGCCAACAAATGAAAGGGGGTATAATTAGGCTGGTCGAGATGTGACTGCAGCCGCTTTAATTGCACGGACGCTTTCACTGACTTGCCAGAATAACGTGAGGACGAGAAGCTGCTATTAATAGCCTATTGACTGAGCCCTGCCGACTCCATTTTCTACTGCAGGGCTGGGGAAGGGTTGTTCTTGCACGAGGTTGCACTGGTAGGAAATGGAGGCCTGTATGAATCCCCCCCAAAAACCAAGCAAAACCATAACACAGCATAGGGATCCCTTTTTTTTTTAAAGGAGAAAAGAGAAAGGAAGAAGACTTTGGGGCTAAAAAGGAGAGGTAACAGTAGCTTGGGAAGGGATACGGGGCTTGTTCATGATTTGTGATCTCAAAACACGGCTGTCCTTGCTGTTTAGCTTAATCTGGAAATATCAGGCTGTTTCTGGCATTTAACAGTGACATTATTGTGCTGAGCTAGATAATGCAGGTTTTTCTCAGCACAGCTCTGGGTAACCGAATATCCCCAGTGAAAGTGGGGGGGGGGAACTGTTTGCTAAATAAAAGCTTGCATTTGTCCTCGGGATATGCGTGACACTGCAGGGGCTAGTGTGATCCAGCACTTATCTGAAAGGACCCTCTCTCTTTTTTGAGGGGTGAGAGGAAATGATTCTCTCTTGCTGACACTTCTCAATCATCTGTTTTTTCTGAGCAAGGACGAGCTTTCAACGGGCTCCCATCGGGCTCACGAGAAAGGGCCCAGTTGTCCGTGGAAGGGACGGTCTGCTGAGACGAGTGTCAAAACCAGTGGGTATCTCTTTACACCCCATTCAAATCCCAGTCTTTTGGCCACAATAGACAGTGCTGATCCCCTTGACTGGCCTGCCAAGAGCTAGATCTGGAAAATCGACATATGCTGATGAATAAGGGCACTGGCTTGTCGGTTGGGAGACCTGCATCCTAATCTCAGTTGTGACACTGTCCTACTTAGGGCAGGTTTATTTAACCTGTCTCCGCCTCAGTTTTCCCATCTGCAAACCAGGCGTCACGGTACCAACCTCCTTTGCTAGGTGCTTTGAGATCTCCTGATGCAAAGCGTCAGCTCGGTCTGGTTATCAGCAATGAACTCTAGCTAAAACAGTGCCTTTTTGTCACAGCCGTCCTGCCACGGACGACAGTGATGTGCATTATGAGCGATCTCTTCCTTTTCCCCCTGGTGAGGATGAGCTGAGAGTCCACATGCCAGCTAGGGAGGGGTTAAATGCTTAGCACTTGTTCAGACCTAATTATGACCTGCAGCGCGTGTCATGTAATTAGTCAGAAATAGGGACTGCATCTGGAAATTTCTATCCAACCACTCGGGACAATCTGGAAAATGCACCTCTCTCGATGCATCAGAAGCTCCTTGCTGCAAGTTCAGAAGACCGGGGCTTGTCTGAGATCTGCTTCTTTCCATGCAGCAAGGAAGAGAGGGTTTTCAGCCATTTTAGGATTTTGCCCACAATCCTCCGCAGCAAGATGCAAAGTCATCCCTGATAGAAATCTGTTATGCAAGCAGGCCGGCTCCATGAATAATTCGTGCTGCACGGACCTGACGCAGGAATCACGTCACCGACCCTGAAAGGCAGCCGCTTTGGGGATGGAAGTTGGCAGCTGTCTGGGGGCTTTACCTAGTGCCCGCTGCCATCATCGGGAGTCTTTCCATTGACTTTGATGGACCCTGTCCTGTGCTCTACTGGACAGAGGAGCAGAGCACCTGCAGTGAGGTTGAGGGGATCATTTCTGTGCCACGGTGGTTATCCTTGTGCCTCAGACCATGAGCCAGTCTGTGCTTGGGAAGAACCTGATTTCTAATGGCCCATGATGGATTATCTTATACGGTCCTTTGAAACCTCTAGTGCTGAGCAAAGCTGGAGACAGGGCACCCTAGGAGATGAACGTGGCACTTTCTGTGCTCCCGTGCGCTACAAAGACCATAGCGAATGACTTGCTTCTTTATATTAAACCCATTTTTCCCCCATTTCTAGAATGCAAAAGGGTTCTTTTAAGCATTGGGACATCATAGAGCATTAACCCCTGAGGTGCAGTCAGGCAGCAATGGTTTAGCTCTCCTCCATCTCAGCTCGAGAGAGTGATTTTTTTTCCCTCCTCTCTCTGTGACTTCATTTTCACTGACGTAAGGTTCATATTTCAGGATAGATGCACGTGACTGCATCTCAGGAGGGAGGAGGCAAGCTCCCCCTCGTGGGGAGATTTACAGATTGCAAAGAGAAACCGAGGCCGTTCTTGTGATGGAAATGCCTAAGGGAAGGAAGAGGAGAGGAAACCATTTTGGAGGCTGACAAGCTGTATGGGAGGAGAGAGAAGGGACAGACATGGTGCAATGTCAAGTTAATGAGCAATGCAACAAAGAGCAATGGGATTTTACTACCTAGCTATGTCATCACCCAGTCATGTCCCCCCATGAGCAAGGTATGACCTACCCTACAAGTATCTCATGGAGCAAACCCCAGCACCCTCAGCACATTTGAGGCTGACTGTGATTTTACCATCAGAGCGTTGGCCACGATTTTCCCATTAGACAGCAAGCAATGTCAGGTCGTGGCTTTGCCTGTGACTTCATCTGCTGCTCAGCAAAAACATAGTCTTGCTTGACCCAGCAGCCAACAGCATCCTTCTGCATCTGTTTTATCAATGGATCGCTCTGCAATATTACTGGATGCCTTGACTCCTAAATGCATTTGCTAAACAATGACTTTTCTTCTCTTAGCCGGCAACATTGCACAGAGTCCCTCGATAGCCAGAAATCCCAGGTTAAGACTTTCTCTACCACTGGCAGGTTATCAGATGACATAAACCATTAGCCAGACATGGAGGGCATAATACTTCACAGAGATGCAGGACTGAAAGGGGATCTTTTGGGTACCCCAGACCTTGTAGCCACATCAGACCATCCTGCTTGGCTATTTATCAAGCTTCCTCTTGAACTAATCCGTTCTTTTTTTGGATTGCACTCTTCCTCCCCTGCGCCCAAACCTCCCTCCTGTCATGGCTAGAAACCATGGTTGCAGCTGCATTTATTCCTGCCCTTTATCCATCCATTTATCCCCAGGCCTATCTGATCTTTTAGCTGCAGTCACTCTCCTCCCACTTGGGTCTTTATCTCATTGATGCACTTACAGGAAGCCACCGTATCTGCATTTATTGGTCTGCAGATTATGGATTGGATCCTGCTGCCATTGCATTTAATGGGATTTTGCCTCTGTAACACCTTGGGTATCTGGGCCTGCGATCTGAATAGCCCTGTGGATGCTGGGATGATTCTTTGCCACGTGGCAAAGTTTGGGGCATAGGTTTCTCACTGGGTGCTTTCTTTTCTTTCTCCTTTGATCGTCTGCTAGATGGGGAAAGGCTCCTTTAAATACGCCTGGGTGCTGGACAAGCTGAAGGCTGAGCGGGAGCGTGGGATCACCATTGACATCTCCCTGTGGAAGTTCGAGACCACCAAGTACTACATCACCATCATTGATGCCCCTGGGCACCGGGACTTCATCAAGAACATGATCACTGGGACCTCACAGGTGAGGAAGACACCGCCGCGGGGTGAAGTGTGATGTAGGCCATGCCATGGGGACCTGCGGACATAGTCGTGAGGTCCTTAGAGGGCTCCTTTGGGGTCCCTCTCTCTGCTGGGCTTTCTATCAGAACCCAGTAGATCAAGAGACAAATATGCTGGAAGCACCTTCATCAGCTCACTGATGCTGCAAGCCTAGAAAATCCCATTTTGGGGGGGTCTTTCAGCCCCAACAATTGACAGTATTAGCCGAAGAGGGGACGTGGTCCCACCTGTCCCCCTGCCTCTGATGTGAAATGTTGAATGGCGTCATGGAGGAGGGAAGGGCCCTAGCCTGGCCTCAGGCAGCTCCTGTCACCCCATAGCTTAGATCAACTTGATTGCCCAAGGCAGGGTCATTGGACTTCACCCCTCCTGCCTTTCACTTAGGGCTGCTATCTTTGCCTTCATGAGCACATCTGGTTGCCATAACTATTGAACAAGACCTGAATGGGCACCGGAGGTCACTTGGCATCCAGGAGGCCAGTAGCTCTCCCCTATCCCACCCTAGGCTCCTGTTAGTATCGAGCATTAGCTATGGAAACAGGTCTTGCCATCCATTGGTGCTGTGGTCTGGCCCCGACCATCAGACCGGCCATGTCATTCATATGCAAGATGCCTTCCCCCCAAAACACCTGATGCCCGCTGGCTTAGCAGGACTGGTGCCCTGTAGGGATGCAGATGCAGCTATCACATAAGTACCTTCAGGCTCCTACTATACAAATCAACAGTAGCTCTTTTAGAGACTCTGCTGAAACATGGTCTGAGCCATTTGGGGATGGCAGCAGGGATGGGATGTAGTGTATTTAGCTGGTGTTAGATACTACCGTTCAGACCAGAGAACAATTACGTTCCACGTGGCAGGAGGAGTATCCTCAGGGCAGAAGGGACAGTAAGGTTGTGCTGGGTTCAAGCACTTGAGGCTCCATCAAAGGTCAATTTAGAGGGTCTCAAGACTTCAGTGGGTGCTCAATGAGGCCTTTACTGGGTGTCCCTGTATGGCCAAGCACAGCTCCTGGCTAGGAGCTGGATGGTTTCACCCTGGTCCTTAGACCTAGGTCACAAAACCAAGTGCAACTGGCAGGGAACAGCAGCATCAGCTGAGGTCAGGACTGAATGGGGTGGGCAGGTGTATTGGGAGGGGCTGGCCTTGCATCTTCCCATGCATTGCCTGTCTCTAAGTAGTGCCCATTTTGGCTAAAACCAGCGGCACCCTTGCCCCCCACGCCCACCCCCAGCTATCCTCAATGGCAGACCTCCCTTGCCTGACCCACTCAATGTATCTCCCGCACCCCAGGCCGACTGCGCCGTCCTTATCGTGGCTGCTGGCGTGGGTGAATTTGAAGCTGGCATCTCCAAGAATGGGCAGACCCGCGAGCACGCTCTCCTGGCCTACACACTGGGGGTCAAGCAACTAATCGTGGGCATCAACAAGATGGACTCCACGGAGCCCCCATACAGCGAGAAGCGCTACGACGAGATCGTCAAGGAAGTCAGCGCCTACATCAAGAAGATTGGCTACAACCCTGCCACAGTCCCCTTCGTGCCAATCTCGGGGTGGCACGGGGACAATATGTTGGAGCCATCTCCCAACGTAAGTGCGTGTGCGTGCACGTGTGTGTGCTTTTGGGGGAGTGGGTGGGTTGCAATAGACTGTCCTGCTTCAAAACTAGACATAATGAGTCTGAAACCGAGCTTTGTGGCATGCAGACTGCATGCAAAGGTCATGCCTCTGTCTCCTGCATTAATGCATCTGAGCCTCCTGGTCATGTATTCATTGAGCTGAGCAGCATATGTCAATGGGTCTCCGGTTCAGACTAGCAACACGGCAGCGAAGCACGAGTGTCTTCAGGAGTTGACGGGCATGGCTTCTCCTGAAGGATTTATTCGGAGGGCTCATGGGCCCCAAGAACCATATTTAACCCAGGCGTGTCCGGAGCAAATGTCACAGCCAGAGGGAACATAGCACGTGCTTTCAGGCAGCCTTTTGTCACGTGAACTAAAACTAGTTCACGGCACTGGAGGGACTCCTGTTAGCTTCATTGCTGCCCATTGCACACTTGGTACATATTGAAAGTGTCCCTCACAGTGCAGGTCATAAGATGCCAAGGCTTAAGACAGAAGAGAGCCCTTCCTCCTTGGTCTTTAGTTGTTTCCCTTCCTCGACAAGTGCCTGGTAGAGCGGAGGGAAAGGTCAGTCTTGGTCACTCTGACGGGAGCACACACCGCTTGAGTCACACAGCTTCCAAATGTCACCAGTTGCTGGGCTGGGAAGATGATCCTCAACAGCTCTGCTATTAATAGGCTGGGTGGTGGAGGGGCAGAGCAGAGTGGAGACAGCCAGAGAGGTGAGCTGGCTTTTCCAGAGCACCGTTCATCCCAATGGACCGCCAGGCATTCATCGACATGTTGCTCCTGGGTTGCACAAGCTGCACATGCAGAAATAACTCGCTCCCTCACCCAACAAACTGAGGCAGCTGTCTCTGGGGTGGGCTGGCAGCTGTTTGAATGGCACATCTAAGCTAGGGAGTGATGGTAAATGCACCAGCCAGTGGAAATGGCAGGGGGGAATTTGGTTGCTGGGGGGAGAATGTATGAGATTAAGGGGGTTAGCTTCGGATCCCAGTTTGGGAAGATTACAAAGTGCCTTCAGACCCTGATTCAGCCTGGACCCAATTGGGCAGGTCCAGGGCCCTGAGCACCCTGGCTTGCAATCATCAGCATGCTTAAACACATGCTCAATTGTAACCATCCCATTGACTGTAATGGGACGTCATGTGCTTTGCTGGAAAGGGGCCGGAGACCTCTCTACCTTGCAAGATGGAGCCTACGTGGCCAGAGACTTGGCTTTGTGTCACATCTAGAAGACGTGACTAGCTCCCCCTCCCCGCTCCCCGGTGCTCAGAGTCCGGCCTGAGTTCACACCCAAACAGCATCTCTGCTGGGAGCATCAAAGACAGAAGCAGCCTCCAGATTTCCCCTGCATCCCAGTAAGGCTCTGACTTTTCACTCCCATTTCCCAGTGAGTTTTCCCCAAATCACAAGGCAGTCAAATGTCTTTTCTGGCTCTCCAGGAGCTTCTCCAGTGCAGAGAGTTTGCAGCTGTCCATGGATTAGGATCCATAACATCCCCTACACAAAGGGATGCTTCTGGTGTCTCCAAGCTGTCCAGTGCCCAAATAGGACAGCTTCACAGAGGGTCTTTGCCAGATGGAGATACTTTGCTCCCAACCTAGAATCCAGGGCCTGGCCCAGTGAAAGCAGAGCAAGTACGAGGCGCAGAGCAGAAAAGAAGGACCCGAACCAGGACTTCTGAGTCTCCATCCAGCGCCCTACGAACAGCATCCTCCTTCCTTCCCAAGGCATTTCTAGGAGCAGGCCCTGGCCAGGCAGCCTAATGGCATCATTGAGTCCACCCCAGCCGAGGAGGTCAGGCTTGCTCCTAGCAGCAGGTGGGGCCGAGGCTTCCTCCTATGCAGAGCAGCTCATTACACTCTTAGCATTTCCCTTTATTGGGTCCAGGAATTTCAGGATCCTCCTCATACCTTTCCCCAAATGCATAGCAAGGCCAGCAGCCTTGCTTAGTACCGACAAGTGCCCAGAAGCTACCTTCTCCTTGCCGATCAAAAGCAGAGAGCATCCTCAGGCTCACACACAGAGCATAGAGGGAGCAAATTTTCAGATGCCCTCCCTGACGGAGCCGGGCTGAGCACTTGTTTCTCCTTGCACGAGTTTGAAATGACATCTGAAACGCCCGGCTGGGTCTGACGTTTGTGCGGCGGTAGCGAATCGAGTCCTGACATGGCAAGAGATAGCAACCGTGTGCCCACACTTGTTTGCAATGAGACACGGTGCAGGAGGAAAGCATTTTCATCGCGTTAGGGGAATATAGTCTCCTCAGTCAGGTTTTGCTGGGAAAAGGGGTCTTTGCTTGCCAAGGACAACTCATCTCAGCACCCGTATGCGCTATAATGGGCTTGTGATGATGACCCAGACCCTCCTTTTTAATCACTGCAGCTGCTGAGGTCTGCAAACCCCAGGGGGGGCTGGCAGTGAGGGGGCCAGGCAGCTGGGATGGTGCTGGGTTTCTGCTCTCACATGATTTGTGGTGCAATAGCCCATGATTTGTGGTATAATCCCAAGCCCCTAATGAACTTGGGATGCTTGTCTGCCAGGCATCACCGCTGTCTCTGTGTCTCTGCCAAAGGCATCGCAAGCTAGGAGGGGGGTGGGAAAGCCGCGTGCTCTGATAAGGAAAAAAAATCATTCATTTCTGGCCCTGGCTTTTGTTTCCCATGCACCTCCCAGGAAACAGGAGGGCAGACACGGTGAGGGAAACCAGCAATGAGTGTCCTAGCAGGGCTCCCAGGGGGTCCTGCCGACCCTAGATGTGCAGACCCCAGGGATCGCAAGCTTGGCTCGATGTCACAATGCAGCCCGATCCTTGTCATGGACCTCGGAGCTGCCGCGCCTGGAGGACTCGCCGTTTCGTGCAATCCCCAAAGCACAAAGACTTTAAAAAAAGCAAGAAGGGCGAGAGCTGGGAGCCTTTTGTGATCCCCTAAGTCCAGGGGCTGGGGCTTTAGGAGAAATGTCTTGTATCAGGAGAGAGAGCAAACTGTGGAGCTGGGTGAATCAGGCCCAGATCGCACCAAAAGATGCATTTCGATGCCCAGTCCGGTCCTGCTTCATCACCATCATCATCATCATTCATATTTGTGTTGTGGACCCCAGCTGGGAATCAAGGCCCCACTGCTGTCTACCTCATGGAGGATCTCAGACCCATGCAAAGGCTGCCTGTTTTCCGGCTTGTTTTCCGAAACCGATGGTTGGGCATCCAGCCGCACGTGATTGGCCGGTGGCCGCACTGTCTCCATGCCAACAGCCACCGAGCCAATCACGGCGGGAGGTCAGGAAGCGTGCCGCTTGCCATTGGAAGCCAGCCACGCTCTGGATTTGCATTGCAAAGGGGAGCTGCGAGTTTCCTGGCACAGTGCCCTGGTCAGGGTTGCTCGGGTTCGGGAAGGGAGCTGCAGGCAGGGCCAGGGGAGGGAGGCGGGTTTGCTGCAGCGCAGGGTGCAGGGCGCACGCCAAGAACGAAAGCAGGTTATTCAATCATCAGGCGCCTTCTGCTCCACGCAAAGCAGAGGCCTCAGCACCTTCGCTCCAGCACTTCCCATCCCCAGCTTTCCCCTCTGCAACACTCTCATTAATCGGCCTCGATTCCTTCCTCCCCGCCGCTCTTAATCCCTCATCGCACAGCTCTCTCCATCTTTCCTTTCATTTCCTCTTCCTCTCCTCCCAGGTCTTCATTTCTTTTGTCTCCGGCTGCACAGGTTTTACCTAAATATCCCATCGAACCGGTTCAGTTAAACTGGTCCCTGTGTGGACGTGCTCCCTGCAGCTGGAGGGTTTCTGGTCCCCCTTAGTCCTGCTCACCATCAGCATGACGGCCTTTTGCTGTCTGGACGGCGCCCGCGGGTCAGACACGGGGAGTTCGCCGTGTCAGGCTGCAGTCGGGCAGAAGGCAGGGTAAAGATGCACCTTGTAGACTAACTGGATCAGAGAGGCAGTATGTGAAACAGCCTCTCACTGCTGTTGCCCCCCTATTTGTCACTAGATGGGGAGTCTGGGTTCGGTGCTCAGGCGTGGCTTTCCCCATGGCTGTGGTTTAGTGAGGCATCATTGTAAAGGCCCTGATGGGTTTCAGGGGAAACCTCCGGCCACAAGTACCCCAGCAGGGGAAGGATTCAGAAGCACAAGTAAGCAGCCTGGGTGGTGTTTTAGGGCATGGGTTCAATGCTCCCCACCCCTTCCCAGGGCGCTGGGAGAATGGGCGCACAAGCAGAGGGTGCAGTCAGGCAGGGCGTTGCTGATTTACACACACCGCAGGAGGGCTGTTCTCTGCAAAATGCACAGAGCCAGGACAGGCCCAAGTCAGGACTGCAAAGGGTTATGACCCAGACCTGTGCACTTGCTCAGGGAGATGCAATCCCCTCTGTACAGAGGCAGGGCATCGGGGTGGATAAAGGGCCCAGGGGAGGTTTCTTTTTCTGGTGGGATGTTACTTTGGGCCCTGGGTTTGTTGCAGGGGGTTCGTCACCAACTCGGCTCACATGCCTGCCATTTTATTCCCCAGATGCCTTGGTTCAAAGGGTGGAAAGTGGAGCGCAAGGAGGGCAACGCTAGTGGGGTGTCCCTGCTGGAAGCTCTGGACACCATCCTGCCTCCCACCCGCCCGACAGACAAGCCCCTGCGCCTGCCCCTTCAGGACGTCTACAAGATCGGAGGTGAGCTCAGGGCTGACATGTCCCAGGGGCCGGGGGGTTCAGCCAAGTCATCTGAATTACAGAGAAGCAGGACCTCCAGAGATCACACCGAGTCCAACCCTCTTGCCTGAGGCAGAATCAGCCCTATCCAAACCATCCTATATGAACCTATAATCCAAACTCTTCATCAAGCTACCATCACAAGACGCAGGTAAAGCAGGGAGACCACAGCAGCCAACATCCTGCTTCTCTAAAAGGCTGTGAACACATGCTCAAGACATCCTCAAGTCCCCCCCTACAGAGGATGGCAAAATCCCCCAGTCCATACCACTCTGGCCATGGGGTAAAATTCCTTCCTGACCCCAAATATCAGTCCGACTCTGAACAGAGGGGCAAGACCCTCTAGCCAGGAACTCCAGCTGTGGTCCCAGCAGGAGCATTGGCACAGCTGCACAGATTTAACCTAAATATACCATTGAGGTATACCAACCTCACCAGTCACCATCCCCAATCTGACACATGTAGCAGAAAGGGGGACAGCCAGCAAAAATAGAGGCTGCAAACTCCAGATGAGATCAGGCTGCTTGAGCACCGCGGGGCTGAAGCTGCCTCCCATTCACAGCCCGTTCCTCAAAGCCCCGGGCATCACTGACAAGGGGCAGCATGTGGTGTTGCTACCTGTCAACTAGTGACAGGTTCAAATTAGGCTATGAATGAGCTTTACACTGGTTTCTACCCACTGCAGCCATATCTCCCTTGGGTCTCCAGAAGACAGAGCCCTGCTGTGCTGTTTCCTCACCCCTCTTCCTCCTGCAGGTATCGGGACGGTGCCCGTGGGCCGTGTGGAGACCGGCATCCTCCGGCCCGGCATGGTGGTGACTTTTGCCCCTGTGAACATCACCACGGAGGTGAAGTCGGTGGAGATGCACCACGAGGCGCTGAGCGAGGCCCTGCCGGGAGACAACGTCGGCTTCAACGTGAAGAACGTGTCCGTCAAGGACATCCGCCGTGGGAACGTCTGCGGGGACAGCAAGTCGGACCCCCCGCAGGAGGCCGCACAGTTCACTTCTCAGGTCAGCCCAGTCAGAAGGGACCGGGTGGCCCTGGTTCTCTATAGTACCAAGTCTATCACCAGTGCTTGTCGAGAGACCTGCCTGCATGCATCAGAATCGCTTCCCCCTCCATATGCTGCTGAAATGCAGCTGCTTCTGGGGTGGAACACAGCAGCTGGTGAACAGCACACAGCCCCATCATACAGCATGTTAGACCAGGAAGGCTAGGAGTGTCAGAAGGGTTGGAGGGGGGGTATGTTAAGCACCGATAACTTGTTCCACCAACCTTTGGGATCATTCAAATGAAAACTGAGCAAGAAGGAGCTTTGTCATTCCATGGTAGGAACAAGCACATTTCTGCCTTCAGCCTTTCTCCATGACAATGTGGGCATGAAGGCAGAGTCAGGGTCACCGGGAAGCCTGGCAGAGACAAGGCACATAAATTCATGCTCCCCAGAGAAGGCAGGATTATGAGATGCATCTCTCTTGCACACACACATGGGGTGCTGGGAACATATAGGCTCCTTGCTTGAGCTAAAGGGCACCTAGCAAAGAGAACCAGCCACCTTCAAAACAATTTCGCACACTAAGCTGGTGTGTTGCACACTCATACACCATTAAACTGGCTTGGGAGCTGCCTTGTCCCTGGCGGAGCTCACTGGGTTCTCTGCTTCCCCCAGGTGATCATCCTGAACCACCCCGGCCAGATCAGCGCCGGGTACTCGCCCGTCATTGACTGCCACACCGCTCATATCGCCTGCAAGTTTGCAGAGCTCAAGGAGAAGATCGACCGGCGCTCTGGCAAGAAGCTGGAGGACAACCCCAAGTCCCTAAAATCTGGTGACGCCGCCATCGTGGAGATGATCCCCGGGAAGCCGATGTGTGTGGAGAGCTTCTCCCAGTACCCGCCCCTTGGTAAGAGAGCAGGCCCGTGGCTGGCCTCACGTTATGTGGAGGTCCACAGATGTGCTCTCACTCTGGTTCTCTGCAAAGATGTGTCCAGCTGTTATCTCTAGGAAGCCCCATGTCTCATCTCAGCATGGCGGGTCAGCAGCTGTGCCCCCCTGAAAGGCCCATCCATCAGCTGCCAAACCTCCCTCCCTTAAGTGCAATGATATATTTATCATACCAGTTCTGAGCCTTCTGGCTTCTATGGTTGAAATCAAACCCTGGAAGCAAATCTGTTCAGCAGG